TAGTTTAACGACATTTCAATATAACCTATAAGCAGTCTAAATGTGACGCAAGCAATATCTTTTTAATAAAAAAAAAATAATGTTATCCGTTCCTTTACATTTTAAGTAAACAATGTGACATATTATAATTAAAAAAAGAAGATTCCGCCCTAATATTTCCACGACCAAAGAATCACATACATTTCATTATACAAGGTGATTCACTAATTGAGGCATCTAGTTTCAAAACCAGCTGATTAATAAAATACAAAACCTAAGCTCTACATTTTAAATAAATGAGTCTATAGTTAAAAACCACTGACCGTGGTATTATTTGAGTAAGTATTTCATTATTATCCCTAACATAATCTGACAAGTTTAATCCTATAATTGCATAGTAAAATAACTGAATTGTTTCGGCTTAAATAAAATTTAAAAAAAAACTTGGTGATATAAAACTAAATCCGCCGTTAAATGAATTCATTGCATCTACATAGTTTCTGCGAAACGGTTAGAGTGCTTTTTTAGACATCATTTTATGCACAGAAATAATATAAAGATGAACAAAAGCTGACGAAATACAAATACAAAATTATTCAAATTGAATTGTAAAAAATTTGAATGTAAAAAAAAATACAGTTTAAACACATTACAAGCACTTGTTGAGCAAAACCGTTCTGAGAACTAATTAAAATTGAATTCAGCAAGTTTAGCAAATGTAAACTTATATCAACTGATGTTTATTTTACAAACCAATTGCGGTGGTTTTTTTTTTTTTTAACTTTTTTTACAATCATTTTTGCGTTATACCGAGTAGGGACTTCTTCACAACACAATGTGTTATAATAGTAAAAACGTCAAGAAAAAAGAAGTTTTTTCAGAACTTTGAATTTACAAAATATGTTTGTAACGAACTACTTACGTCACCCAGAAATCACGTTAAAATAGCAACAAACCAAACCTAACCTAACCGTTACTAGTTTAATAGGCAGCGAAATAAACATTTAAAAAACAAGCAAAGCAAAAAAAAAAACCGTACCCGAGTGATCCGTCGGTAGAAATGCCGAAATCGAATTCGGCCAAAACCAATAACACTGTAATTGATTAAATCCAATTTAGAGTTGACATTTTTTTTTTTTCAATTACTAAACCCGCTCCGACCAAAAGAATTCAGTACTCGACCAATTTCTAAAGGGATTCCACAAGTTGTGAATATTCCCAACGTTACTTGTAACATATAATTATTATAACGTTTTAAAGTAATTAACTCTTCTATAAGGATCTTAGTGGCATATTATGATAGATTAGTTGAAGAAAATCATAAAATTCAAAGAAGAAGAATAATAATTATCGGTGTAGTCCAATATAGAAAATGATTCATTAATGATAAGGCACACAATGATATGTTTTCTCATTGTAATTGCAATTTTGTAGTTTTTCTTCTTGGAGACATTTTTGGGTAAGTTCTGTTACAACAATGCAAGACAATATTCAAATTTTTATCTTTTTGTTTTTTCCTGAGCTCTACCAACTCTTAAAACTTAAATAGCAACGTATAAATTATTTAATTAATATTTCAAATTAGAAATGATTTGCTGACAATTTAGACTGGTCGACAACCAGTTTTGGATAGTTAATTTGGTTATTTTAGAAACGAATTGCAATCAACCAATCATAAAATATTTCCCCAAAAATTGGTTATCGATCAGTCAACATTTCCAGCAAATTATTATTTGACGAAAATTGTATTTTAATGAAATAAAATGTGACTAAAATATATATTTGATTAAAAGCCAAAGCGCGTTTCCTATTTGGTAAAGTGATTTTTTTTTTGTGATTACAAAACTATAAAGAAAAAGTAGATATCGACACCAGTTTGGCAAATGTAAATAAAACATTTTTATTTCTATACATTTTATGGGTTTCCATTAAAAAAACTTTTATTAAAACTTTTTATTAGCCTTCCGTTGTAACATAATATTCACGAAGTACTCCTAAAAAAACTCTTTTCAAATTATATGAAAGCAACAATACAAATTACAGCTCTTATGGAGTACATCAAAATATGTTAGACACATATAAGTATACAACCGAACAAATAATTTAAATATCATACAAACCGAGCTGCTCGCTTAGAAAGTTTAATGCGAAACTTAAAAATACTAACTTTTGAGTTAACAGACTGTTTTTTTTATTAAACTTTAAAGAGCAATTTGTTTTTAAACAATATGTTGATTTCGGTGGAAAAGTGGAATTTATTTTTTCAAAAATTATAATATTTCAAGTATTGAACAATAAATGGTAGGACTTTTGGGTTAAACGCTGAACTAAGAAGGCATTGTTTTATATACTGTTTTTGTGTTTATATGTAAAAACATGCTTTTGAAACCAAATTACGGCGTTCTATAACTTTGTAAAACTAGTCAGATTAGTTCTGATATTGAATTTAACATACTTTAGATAAACTTCTATCGATAAACGTTGACAAACCAAATAAATATTTAAGCCCAGACGATCAACCCTAATCGCTTTCATCAATTGTCATTACATGCGATTAATTGAAAGTTATTTTATCACTTTCTGTTTTAATAATTTCTATAAATCTGTGACCTCCCCCGCTTCAATAATATGCTCCTTCTCACGTCGCGTCGACCCCACTGTTCTGGCTCTTGGTTTTTTTATGAAGATTGTTTAGACCAATGCCACTACTAAACGACCTCGTTTGTAGGCAAACCGGAAGCCAAGAAATAACGCAGGCCTATTTGTTGTTTGTTTGTGTTGGTTCTTTTCTTTAAAAATGAGTTATCGCCCTATTAGAAGGTAATGCGCACTGTAATCTTAGTAGCTATTAGAGGAGGTTCACGCGCTGTTTCCAAATCGTGGATATTTATTACAACAACAAGAGGTACTCTACCGTAAGTCATATACTATAGTATTTACCATGAATACCTAGTCGAGAAAAAGTCACGTGTGCCCAAGGTTTCGGTTTGCGTTCACAGCAAAATCATGTAAAAGTGCCGAAGTAAGGCCATTTACAAAAGAAATATTATTACTTTGGTTGTTGTTTCCCCGGAAAAGCTACTGCTATTACTCGAGTCACAGACGAAGTCATCCGAATATATTTTCTACTTTAGCTTATGTCACTAAGTGTTGTTGTAACATTTTTAAATTAACGCCCAACATTGATTAAGAGATTCGAAAATCACAAAATAAAACCAATATACTGAAATAAGATTTGTTCGTATAATTGCCCTTATAAAATATATGTCGCTACCCAAGCCTATACAAAAAACCAACAAGCGGTACAATGCGAGAACAAAAATGCGTTGGCCTACATACCAAACATACAGCAAGCAATATTATACTATTTATCCGTATTAAAATATATATCCCCTCTCCTCCCCCCCCCCAAAAAAAAAAAAATTCTGGCCCGATCGATTCAATTTATGGCGATTGTATAAATTACAGGTTTAAATGCGGTACGGTGGAACAACACAATACCTACATACTATTATGATATGCGTTTGTGTGGATTTCCAAATAAATTAGGCACGCGCCGCGGGATGAGCTTTTGTCGTAAAACCCGTGTGGTTTTAATTATTCGCAACGCTCAAACCGACCGTGGCTTATGTTCGGGTAGACATATTTAGTGTGTTCCGGGTATGCATAGTGAATGAATATGTGTGCTTGCTGCCGAAGACAATAGGGTAACCTTGTATGGGGAAGGGTTTTGACGATATGCTTTCGGTCTGGTGTATAAGCGCGGTACAGAACTGTGCCTAGGGCTGGTAGAAAGGACGCCGGGGGAGTAGGTGAGAAAGGAAGGGGTAAGTGGAGGGGGGGGGGCGTAATAAAAAGCGTTTGTCGTTTCAATTTGTTTTTATAGTCAGTATATAGAACAGCCTTTGGCGTGGATAAAAGCAGAGAAAATCGTAGGCAACGGTTGTGATGTTTTTTTTTTTTTTTTTTTTTTACATAACGGCACCTTTTGTACCTAAGCCTAATGTAAAACGCCACAACAGTTGGTGTCGTTTAGATCGTTGCGATCTGACGTTGAAAAGGGTTGTCGCGTAGTGTAACCCTATACAGGGTGATTCTTTTTAACGTAAGGCACTAAGTTAAACCAACTTTAATTTAGTGGTTTTTCTAAAGTTTAAAGTTTACGGTGGGAAGAAGGGTGGAGTGTATTTTATAAAAAAGGTTAGCTTACGTTTTCATTTAAGTCTCTAGGGAACCGTTCTGGTAAGGTTTTGAACACGCTCTATAGGAAAAAACTGTTGTCTATAATTCATATTACATTTATTCAGACTTGGGAAAGCAACATTATCATAAAATTCAAAATAAAATAAGAAGTATAGTCGTTTTTTCCTGTGGTTTTAGATGCGGCACAAGGGAAAACACGTCATACTCTATGTGTTCAATCTTCAGATTTTTGTCGTGTTATTTGTTTCTTACAATTTGTTTATATAAAGTTACGAGGACGTAAAACGTCCAGGGAGTTTCTTATAAGCAATTTGTTTTCCTAAAATCACAGTTAAGGATTTATCGTTTTTCTAAAATTATTTATCAACGTTGCATGCGATAGACAGTATATTTTTTGTACACAATTTGTATAGCATTATTGAACGATTATCAAACAATTAACAGCGAACGGTTGAAATATAAAATATATTGTGTTTTTTGGAAATATTATACTATTACTTAGCATAATACATTTGTTATCTAAACGAATAATGAAAGAATATATTTTTTTTTCATCTAGAGAAGACAATGGATGTAATTTCTACTGTTTACATGGTCAAGATAAATTATTTGTTTAATTCGTCTAGATGAAAAAAAAAAAAGATCAAAAGGAAATAATCAAGATAATGCCTAATTACCATTTCCCAATTCAGTTCGGATACTGCCTGAATTGCGTATCACAGTATTTATAGATTAATAAAAATTATATTTCATGTGTTGGACGTGATCGCAGTAAGTGTCTGCGGTACAGTTATGTATGTAATATACATTAAACATACCTGAGCGTATCTGTCTACTACACCCTCTCCCATGTTCAGGTCGGTGCCGGCGGTGCAGTTGCCGCCCAAGTGTTGTTGCGATTCGACAACGCGCAGAAGAGCGTTGGCCTTATCCAACAGATTTGGGCCTCCGCCACTGGCCTTCATCAACGACGGCGAGCCTAAGCCGATGCCGTCGTCGAGCGCGACGGTCGTCAGCCGCGTGACCGGTTGGTCGTTGTGCTGTTGTTGCGCCCACCTGGCCATCCTCGAACGACCGTGCCGCACGGTAACGGCCATCGCGCTCAGCACCCACATGGACACCACGGTGGCCACTAACATGACGCGTACGGCCACACGGTCAAGACGCGACTGTCCGGTGGCCGTCCATAACAACTTCGGTCGTCCCCGGCGGGGGAGGGGGAGGCAGCACTTCCCGGGCGGCGAGTATAGGGAAACTTAAAACCAAAAACCGAAACCTGTATTAGGAAAAAAAAACACGAAGAGCTGTCAAACCAGCTCAAAAACACCCGCACTCAAGTGATCACCCCGAAACGTTGCCGGTGTGCGCGCATTTCGTTCAAGTCCATTTCGTCGGCGGGTACGCGTACGGTAACCGTTGGCGTGCGATCCGCAAAGATACCGTTAAGCGACTAACACTGTCGACGTGATGGACCACGTACCGGCGCGGCGACAGCGCGCCGCTAAACGGCGCGGCGGCCGGTATCTTCGCCGCAATAACTTCTAGCCGCACGTGTTAGAAGTCTGTTGGATCGTCACGTTGGACACTTCGAACGACCGGCGATCTTACAACAAGGCTAAGATGGTCAAACTTTTGTGTACGCCAAACGGACGTGTCGACTGGACACCGTGTTCTGGGCGAGAAAAGTCGACAATAATAATTTGTCAACGACATTCATTACACAATACAGAGTGATCAATTTAACGTAAGATACTCATTTCCTCTTAAAATAATTGCAATTGTGTAATTTTTCTTTTTTAACACATTTTTATTTATTTTATTTTTAAATATTATACCATTAACAAATATTTAAAACGGAAAAAGGGTGAAGTGTAGTATTCATTTTATTTGTGCGCATTATTCTACCGCATTTCAACTAAAAAAATACCCTTTAACCTTTAATACATTTAAAAATAATTAACTAAAACTGGTATCGACCAGTTGAAATTTTCAGCAAATCATTCGTAAATTAAAATGTTAATTAAATATGTACGTTTCCATCTAAATTTAAAATATTGATAGAGCTCTGGAAAATTTAAAAAAGGTAAATACCCTGTAATTTTATAATATTGTGGATCAAGTAATAAAAAAATATTTTTATACTCGGTCACTCTTACCAACTTTGAGTATTTTATCAAAATGCCTGCTTTAACATAAAATTTGAATGTTCGGCCTGTATAAGGATGACACGGCAAGGTGTTGAGTACCGACTTAATAACATTTTTAGTGTCGATATTGCACAGAGTGTTTCAATCAAGGGTACTTATAAAAATAAGCAACTGTCTTGACGGATTTTCAAAACCAAAAAAAATATAAAGACTTTGACTTCGAAGTCCAAAAAGAATGCTTAAAAAACAAAAAAAGCAAAATATGCCTCGTTATATAGTGTAAAACCGCTTACCTCGAAAGAGGGGTCGCATAATTTGACTTCCTTTTCAGTACTTTATTCGAAAAATTATGTAACCGATTATTTTAGTTGAGAATTTCTAGGTATCGTTTGATTTCTAAAGACAATGTGAACCAATTTTTATTTTCCTCGCTGATAGACGATCTTATTTAGGATACAAAGAGTGAGGTAACTTGGTGTCTTTTAAATGTGGATGATGAGGTACACCGATGGTAGTTGACCGTCTAGAAGTATTAGAGCAATCCAGAGAGGTGTCTTTAAAGTTGGTATCACAATATTTTACTAAACTCTTAATATGTTGCTTTAGAGAAACCTAACCTCGTTGTAAAATTCCTGCCATAAGCTTAATTATAAACAACTAGTTAATATTAATATTCAGTTTTTATAGACCAGTTATTTAGTGGTAGTTATGTAATCAAGCCCAACTTTGGTAATTTCATACTGTGCCTCGTTTTGGCTGTACTAGTTTACACCAACTTCATCTGTACTAATGTACACTATACTTGGTTTAGACTTTGGTCGGTTTTTGTTCTATTGCACTGATTGGAGAGACAATACCAAAAACCATAACCGATGCGGCGTTATTAAACCTAAGTACAAGCCCAGTTAATGCGTTTTGACGGAACTATGGAGTACAGTAACAAAGGAAAATGATTGGTATTCTCTGAGTTGACCTGACAGCTCTTTGTAATGGAAATTTCAAAATTACCTTTCTTGCCTATGCAAATTTTCTTTATTGAAACGAATTGACGAATTTTGCGTGTCAGTTATATTCTGTTCGTTGAATACTTTTGGATTTAATTATTATTTATTTTCTTATAAAAACCACTTTAGTACGATATGCATATTATTATGCAAAACCATATCGGCCACAATTGCCGCTGTAACAAAATTTTGCCGTCGATAAAATGAAAACAAATTCGAAACGATTTAGTCGAGACAAATATTAAGTACCTCGGGTTGTTCAACAAGACCATTAAAAAATTATAACAAATTACTTTGCTCGTTCAAAATCCAGACAAATGTTTTTAAGAGGTTTACCCTATCGTGTTAGAAGATTGTTATGAATGCAATTCTATCCCGTGATTTTACTATAACAGTGTTGCTTTACAAAAGCTAATATTAATATTTATACTTATACCAACTATTGAAACTATCTAGAAGTAAAACCATTTAATAGCACTAAACTTGGAACATGAGTTTGAAAGTTTTCCAACGTCTGACTACGCAAAAGGTTTAAAAAAGGTTTATCCGACAACTTTATTCAATTTTATTTTTAATAAGTTGTAAATTTATATGAAAATATGGTAAATACTAAAAAACATAATTTATCCGTAGTTAGCAGTTGTATTATTTATAACTCTGATCTGGATAATGTTTGTTGGCGTACGATATGAAGTTATACAGAGTGAACAATTTAACGTAATACTTTAATTTTCTCTTCAAATAATTGCAAATTTGTAGTTTTTCATTTTGGAGATACTTTACAAAATGAGACAGTGTATACCTTTTTTTTTTCCATTATTTTATGAAAATATGAGTGTCTTATCCTCAATAAACCACACGGTATTAAAAAAGAAGTGATCTTTTTTTTTTGAGAGCGAAACTACATTAATTAAACGCCGTAGCCGAGGTATCATCACGGGAGTGAATGGATTAAGATACTTGGAACGATGCCCCGAAAGTCATAATTGTAGTCAAACAATACCGAAGGAAAAAAGGAACAAGGGTGGTCCGACAACGGAAGTATAATAATAATCATTGTAAATCGTTACCATCGAGCACACCGGATTCGTGTTTTAATTTGTAAAACACCGGATGCATCGACCCTTAGGCTTTTTAGAAATGCAAATTTGTGGATGTATGTATTTTATGGGTTTGGGATTAAAACGAGGCGGGCTAAACGAAAAATGTTATTAATCGCGCAGTACTATATTTGTTAATGCATAAAATTTGAATATCTTAACATATGAACTTTTCAATATAAATACCATCAAATTATCTTTCCGGTATGATTTGTAAGCGATAGAGTTGCCAAATGAAGAAATCGTTTTAGCGGTATACTTGAGTCCAGGCAAAGAAACAAAACACAAAAAGACAATACTTTCTTAGATTTCAAATCGAAGCTAAAAATATATAATCATATTATAAACTGCTGCCATAATTTTCTTTTTTTTTTTTTTAGTGCAACAACAATTTATTTAGTGAATATTCACATTGTATATTATTATTATCAACAAAAAAACGTTGCCCGCTTCGCAAAATCTGCAACAAAGATATCAGTGTTGAAAATAACGTTTAATGCTCATCTTCGTCTTAAAATGGCCCGAATTCCTTGAGTTAAGAATCAAATCGATAAAATGTTATTAAAGTTTTTTTATTTGCACAATTCAATAACATTCCATCGGTAAAAAGGTCTGCACAAGTATTATTTATTATTAGATTGTGTTATTTTTGCAAAAAAATCCACAAACCAATATTTTTATATTACATCTGTTAGTATTTATATGCGTTATTAAACATTTTTTAGTCGGTTATACATGGTGTCACATATTTCTATTAATTGTGTTAAATATACAGCCGGCTCTGTCAAAACGATATTATTATATATATATTATCATTGTACAAGTATAATTGAATTTCGAAGCAGCACCAACACAACAACAATAACAATTTTAAGTGTTTCGTACCGACATTGTAAGTACCTACCTACACCAATTATGTCAATTAGCACTAAAAGTAATGATACCTTTAGAATATTTTTTCGGGAGGTAGGAGTGCACTTTTACAACATTTACATAATCTTTCAAACTACTATCCTAATTCTTAATCCATTTAAAAACACCAAAAAACGTTTGAATGCGTTTTATTCGACAAAATTACGTTGTAGGAATTTTAATCTAATTAAGTATTTTGGAATCTCACTCTCTCTGGGACGTATTTTTTCACTTAATAAGACTAAGAAGGACATAAAATAATGTTATTTTATTTTATACTCTCGTTGAAGAGATTTAATAATGGGAAAATAAGAGACTCAGTTAAAATTGACGCATTCATGTTTATAATCGTTGACAAACAATTCTCAGAACGCAGTATAATTAAACCGGAAGTTTTTGGCCCAAATCTTTTATTATTATACGAAGATGTTTTGTTTTTATATATAAATGGCGTGCCGTGTAGTAGTAGAGGGAAATGTTGTTGATGTTGAACCTCACCTGTAGTCATTTCACATATTTTGTCATTCGCGCCATTGTCAGATTTAATCGACTGTCTGAAAAACTCATCATTTATAAGGGGTTTGGAAAAAAATCTAACATAAATCCAATAAAGATCACATTTTGCCCTAAAAAAAAAACACCTAGTTTGAATCTGTAGAATTACATATTTAATTAGTTTTAAAATAATTTGGGTTGAAGAGATTTAATTTTTTTTTTTAATTAAATTAAAAATATATATACATATATATATCTGTAAAATTTGGGAACAAAGCTAATTGGTGATATTATCGTAGTAAATCTAAAAGTATTGTGAATTAAATATATAGACTTAAATAATAAGACTTAAGATGTTCATACAATCATATTGGTAACCCTTGTAATAGTATAATTACATTATAATAACAATTACAGACAACAATGTTCTTTAATAGTTTATTTTTGGGTAAGTTTAAAACATGTAACATGTTTAAACAATGTACAGATTTTGATTACATTAAACATTATTACATTATTTATGATATATTATTTTATCATTTATTAGATAAATTTACAAATTCAACTACATTGCACTATCGTTAACATTACCAGAAGTTTTCTCAACAGATTTTCATTAGCATACCTGCGTTTTGTTTTCAATCGTTTCTAAGGACTTTTTAAATTGTATTTTTTTCGCATGAAGTTTTAATTACTATGTTAATTAAAAATAAGAAAGAAGCTCAATGATACCAATTTAGTCGATCTCCTGTTCGGCAAATGTTTTCTGGTTCATACGAAATAGAGTAAAAATGTTCACCTTTTAATCCAACCAGGGTATTTTCCGATTATTCCCTAACCAAATAAACAAATGATGTGTTTTTTAATGAAAGCGGTCTACCTATTTTAAGGGTAAACAAAAAAACATCGAAATAAAGCATTGATGTAATATGTATCTAAGTGATTTTTATTATTCTACAATATTAATTGACGATAATATTATTATGTTCCGGATATACCGTATGTTCTTTTAACAAATAAAAGATAAGGACCGTAACCTATATATTAGAATTTATAGCAAGAAAACATTTAATCAGTGTTTAAGAACTAAGTACCATGAGTAAGGCCGAGCTTAAATTTATTAGGGTATAATATATTTTATCCTTCGTTTATTTAGCCTAATTTAACTCGGCGTGACGTTGCGCACGAGACCTAACAGTTTATAGTCATGCAATGAACATTTGTATTTAAAAAATAAGTGTATAAATATTAAAAACAAATAGATTCTATATACCGGTGTAACACACTAGTAATAAGGATGAAACATGTTTAATGCATTTCCAGGTCTTATTGGCAAAAGTAAGCTATTAAAAGTATAAACCCCCCCCCCCTCCCAAAAAAAAAACATCAAAGAAACAGTTGATTTTGAAAATACTTTCTTATGCAATTAGGTTGTAAAGAATTGAAAATAAATTATGTAAACAGCCGAAAGTATGGCCCTTTATTATGTTGACCCTTCTTGTACGAATTCCAAGTTAGAAGTTAAAACAAATTAAATATTTATAATGTTATTTGTTTCACGTTTTAGCTTCAAAGTATGTATGAATTCCAAGTATTTAAATATCAATATAATATTTTCTTTGGGGTTTAAATTGCTGCATTTCATCGAAAAACAACCGAACGCTATTCGAATTAAGAAAACCAGACACTTGAGTATTTTAATATATTCGAAATGCACTGTAAGCTTATCCTGTGTAAAATAAAAATAAGTGTAAACAGCATTTCACAAAAATCATAATAAGCAATTTTGGTGATACAGCTGTTAATGAAAAATATTTAGTTTAACATGTTTTAACTCAAGACAGATTGTAGATGTCAGTGTCCGGTAAATTCGAGTGCTGAGGTGTTTTATGGATCTGTTTGGGCGAAATGGATGTCTCACCACCTTTTCCATTAGTCTGGACCTCCCATAGAATAAAATATATGAATAGCCATTTGGTATGCGGGCGACAGAAGCGTAATGAAGCAATTAAAAGGGCAACTCAGCATTCCAAAAAAAAAAAGGTGGTCGAAATTAATGTCGCCTAGAAAAAAAGTATAGTTTAAACAAATGAAAAAATCATTTGGTACGTTTCGGGGTTCAGAAATCATAGCGAATTATATTGTACTTAATTTTTTAAAAATTCTATTCAAACCATATTCAATACCGAATGAGAATTATGTATTGTGCACAAATATAAATCGACTTTTGTAGTAAGCCCTGGCGGCATTGGAATAACGACAAACGCACAATTTATTTATTGCGTTTTATCTTCTGTAATTTGCTATTGTCAATGTTTATACAAATGTCCATTGTAAGTAATATTTATTTGTATTCCAATGCAGTTGTGCTGCTGCAAACAATAGCAAACAATTTTCCGCAATATATTAGATTCGTTATTTGTTTTACTTAAGTTATTCCAAAGGCTTTCAACGTCATTTCGTCTATTATAAAAATATCTTCTATTCAGCTCTCATTATGCGTGCTAGCAGTTAGGGTGAAGAATTGTGTAGAGAAATAATGTATAATGATGTATTTAAGAAATTTCTAAGACTAGTTATTTCAATTATCTAGACAAATCTAATTTCAAATAAATTTAATTCTATAATATCAACTTTAGTAATTTGGTACTTGTTGTTTTTTTTCCCCCTTGGAAAAGTGTTTACTGTTGTGTAACTTAACTTCTCTGCTAGTGGATTAGATTAGGCAAAAGCGGTCGTCGATAGGTTAGGTTAGGCTAGGTTAGCTGACCTTAATGGTTTTGGTGTCTTCCTTGTGGGTTTATTATACATCCCGAGGAGCTTAACGGCCGTACCCTTAATAATATAACTATCCAATTAATATGTACAACCGCAGTGCTAAATTATTTGAATATAAAGTATACTGAAGGGCGAGTGGTAACGTGTAGCAGATTGTAACCGTTGCAGCTGTCTCTCACCTAATAAGGTCCCTAGGGTTAGGTTATATGTATAAAAGTTAGGAGGAGAAAAATTAAATGTTTAATGTATAAATATTCTAAAAAAAGAACAAATTCTTTTGACTTATTGTGAAATAACAATAGTAAAAGGAGGGACCGTCGTACTATTTTTAACTCAGTGCGGTTGGCTTACCGGCCCCTCGATTTGAGTAAATCATTGAGATTTGTTGGATATTAATCAGCTTTCTAGAAATACTTTAAAATGTATTCTTGTACACAGTTTTAAGGAAATGGCTGGTAAGACACTACTTCACAAGCACAAGTGGTGGAAGGGTAGAACATTAGTTTAATACATTTTTGTAAGGCCATTCGCACTAAACTATACTCAAGTGTTAAATTCCAAACTTTTAAAAACAATCATTATCCTTCCAATTTGTTTGTATAAACGTCTGTATGAGAATGAAAATTTCATCCATTTCCAATATTATTTTTTGAAGTTTTGACTAGTTTCATTCAAAAAGGATTTTGAAGAGATGTTCTTTAATGAAATTACAACAAACTTGTTCTATTTATTGATGTATAGTTACTATTTTATTTTTTATTAAAATAAGAAGTTAAGTTTTAACTCTTTCTTATTAAATACTTTTATTTTTCTAATTGAAAACAATATTTTTGTATCCTTCAGAAAGCCAAACCCACACCTATTGTGAAAGTCGTTTAAATAAAAAAATAATAGAAATGGCGAACGTATTTTTTTTTTTTGGCTAAAGTGTCGCAAGAGTTTGCCAAAACCCTTTAAAAGGAAAAAAATAATCCAATCTCTATTCCTCGTGTGTGTGTGTGATATTGTTTCAAAACAACCTTGTCCCTAAGTATAACCGTTGCGGATTCATAAACCTTTAGGGTTTACGCAACGTGCGATAGGATGTAGCAAAAATTAATGTTTTGTTTTTTTTAATTGTAATTATACATATACATTTTACTGGGTTCTGCACAGCAATATATAAATACGGGATAGGATTTACAGTAAACAAATGAAAAAAAAACAACGTTACCGTACAGTTCAAGAGGATATCCACTCGTAAAAAAAAACTAATAAATTATACAACGCATAGCGATTGCATGTCCGGTTTACTTGATATGTGTGTGTGTGTATAATTATTGCATGTGAGTTTGTGCAAGTTAGACAAGTGGGAAAAAATTGCGACCATTCCGAGGGTTGGAAATGTGCGGTGTTTGATGATAATTTCACCTGCAAAGGATAGCATAATACTATGGTAGGTACGACGGCGATCGGGGTGAAAAATATATTATTTTTATCGTTATTATAACGGTCTCGACTCTGGTTTTGAAATGTGCTTATCCGAATCGGATTAACGCTGCCAAAATTATTGCACCACATTTTCCTTTTTTTTGCACCGACCCCTTTATCGATAACACATTAACGGGTTATAATATGTATTATAAAACCGATTTTTCTGATGTTCTGTCTATACTAATGGCGCACGAAAAAGGCAAAAATAAATAATTACAACGCATGTTGTCCGCAACACTGATGTGCATAATTGGATAGCTGTAAGCTGTGTACAACCAGGGAAAAATACCACAAGAGATTCAGATACCTTGAGGTACACCCTAAATGAATCACCGAAATTTGATTTTTTTTTTTTGATTCGCTGTTCAAAAATTAAAAAATACCTTATTGATTTTCACAGTTAACCAATATGAAAACCAATTCTATAATGTAAGATTTTTATTTTATTACATTACATTTTAAAAACTGTTAATAATTTAAAGTAGTGTTTATAAATGCTAACAAAATAACTAAAGTACAAAAACGTTTAATAAATACAAAGTATACGTCGTGTGCTGAAATAGTTTTGTATTATTGTTTACAGAATAACAAACAAACAAACAAAATTGCTATTTGTTTGGTTACTATAATGTTACTCACCAAAAATTCACTATACACTCACCCACTGCACAGCATAAACATCATTTATACTTAGTTACAGAAAAGAAGTTGTTTAAAAGTTTTAAATAAGTGGACAAAATGAAAGTAAAATGCTTAATTGTTTTATGTTTACTATTTATAATTCATTATCAGAAAGTCAGAACAATAAACCCTTCTGAAAAAGAGGCAGAGCAGGTAACTTTAAAGTTTTAAACTAGACAACAAAAAATAACACCAAAATGACTACGTGTTAAATAATTGTTGATTTTCAGGGCAGTTCACCAGAGCCATGCATTTTTAACACAGAAGACTGGCCTCATCTTGACGATCCTACACTTGAGGTTGTTTATCAAGAAGTATGTTTTATCAATAGTTTGAAACAATAATGACAAACATTTATTTTTTAAAAATCATTTCAGTTAGAATAATTTTTTAAGTTTAATTGTTTGTCTACCAAAGGCACCTTCTATGGTCACAGAAAACTTGTCTCATCCTGTCGATCCTTTACAAGAAAATATTCATCAACAAGTAAGGTTTATCAATAGTCCAACACAAGAATGTTTAATTAGAATAATTATTAATTAAATTTAATTGTTGATTTACCAAAGGATTGTATTTTGAACTCAGAAAACTATTATCTCAAAGATCCTATACCAGTAAGTTTAGTCAATAGTCTGAAACTGTAATTATACAATTTTTCAATAAATAATTTTTGATTAGTATAATTTTTTATATTTAATTGTTTATACGTCAAAGGCATTTCCTATAAACACAAAATTTTGGTTTGAACTTGATGATTCTATAAAAGAGGTTACTTCTCAACAAGTAAGTTTTATCAATAAGTATGAAACAATAATGACAAACATTTCTTTTTTAAAAATCATTTCAATTAGAATAATTATTTAAATTTAATTGTTTATCTACTAAAGGTACATCCTGTGGTCACAAAAAACTTGTCTAATCCTGTCGATCCTCCACAAGAAAATATTGATCAACAAGTAGGTTTTATGAATTGTCTAAAACAGGAATGATAAACATTTCTTTTTTAAAAATAATTTCGAATCAAAATAATTATTTATAATTAATTATTTTAATACAATCTTGTATTTAAAGAAGTAAAAAACATTCGCATTTAAGGAATAGTTTTAATGCAAAATTAATTAAATGGAAAATAAGTTTTCCAAATAATTGGTTAAAAAATTATTCAGTCACATATTTGAATATGAAATTAATCAAATAATTAGTGAAAATATTTTTTTCCAGCAATTCCCACTCAAATAATGACGTTTGAAACTTTTTCACTTCCACTTCCATACTCAGTGCCGTAAGAAGGCATGTAAGACGTCTTCATACTAATTAACTATTTTATGAATTTTAATATAGTATGTGTTGTAACTATTTAGGTAAAACATTCATTTTATCAGAGACCAGATATCAAAATTTACTAAAAAAACTATATAACTCTTGAAGAGCTACAGCTGCTAAATACAAATTTAGAAACAAATCCACCAAACTTTAAAGCTTCCGACTTTGTCAATCGTGGATAACTGCACACCAAATTGTTTTTAATTATTGTAACGAAGTGTCCCCGTTACATTATCATAGAAAATTTACAATTTTTTTTTAATTCATAAGTATTTTTGCTTCAGATTTGTTTGAATTGTATGTAACATAATATTAATTTATTACATGTTTGTTTTAACAATGTATAATGTATATCATAATTTTTGTACTTTTAAGTTGAAAATTGGTCAGAAGGTAGGATTCTCTTATATGTATGATATTAAGGACTAATACAATTCACGAATCCAGTTATTGTTTATTGCGAAAAAATTTAGTTTTTAGACATTGTGGTGCCCATATAAATGTATTTGTAAAGGATGTCGAATCCCTAAGTCACTCTATTTGCATGACAAATATACAATTTTACACAAGTGCCAAATTAAGATGACTACCAGTATAATCCAAAACATTACCATGTGTATACTGGTCGAATATATTCATGTGTAATAAACAACGTCTTCGCCTTGCTAAGAATTATTCTAGTGATACACTCAATAAATAACTAATGAAAATTCGTACATCGACTCAGTTAACACTCAGTAAGACTCAGGGAATTAAATAGAAATTTTAAAAAATTGGGGAAACATTTGTTTAACATTTGGAGCCATCCAATGTCATTTTTAAAGAAGTAAATACTGTCAATAGATTTGTTATATTTAAAAATCACGAGTTCACGTGTGGATAATATTGTAATGTGATATTATTAACGTTAAAGCTATTTTTTAATTTAGAAACGACACGTGTGTATGTAAATAAAAGTCCCTCTTTTTTTTGTATTTTTTTTTTTAAAGAGTTTCCAGAGTGTCATGGTTTGTGTATTTTTAAATTTGTAATTCAATCCGGATCCATTAGACTGTTGTCGTATTATCGTTCGCATCAGATCGTGTAAGTGCCTATTTAGTATTTACATTCGCTTACACAAGTACACTATGTCGAGTGAACCGTACAAAAAATAATCCCATACATTTACAGTGTACTAAAATATTTGTTTTGTTTTATACGGGGTAATCAATTTTTTTTTATATTCTAGGCGTGAGTCATAATAACACATTTTTTTCATATTTGCTTATTGCTAAGTTTAGAAGGCATGTACGTTTTGAGGTAAAATATTCAGTTGTTTTTAGTGTCTTTATTTTTTATGATACATAAGCTGTCCAAACAATCGTTTACGATTTCTGAACAACTTGTTTTTGTATGAGGGTCACAGCAGATGTTCTTTTAGTATTTATTTTCAGACATTAGTCTTGTACATAAAAAGCAAAATAAAGAACTCCATCTTTAGGATTTATAAAAAATAATAGTAATAGTAATCGCCATAAAAATGTAACCATGAAAAAAATATAGATAAATTAAACCCAGTGCAATATACTTATACAGTATAAGTCTACTTTAATAGACTTTGTTTGGATGGAGGATGAAAGAGTACTTAATATATATATATGCTACCATTTAAGTTGATAGAACTCTGAACAAAATTCAAATATACTAATTTTAATATTGTTTAACACATTAAACAAACATAAACTTCAAAGAAAATAACAACAATATTGCAATTCTTTTAAAAGAAAATCGATTGTACTGTATCTTGTTTTCGATTTTGGTGCTTGGTAATTTGTTAGCAAACTAATACAAATTATGTTGTTGTGAGAACTCAAAGGAAATATATAATGCAAAATTAGTTGAACCGGACGAGTCTCTCGTTGTTTGGGAAACTTGTTCAACGTCCGATTGTCCTTTTCCGACTATTCGGACTTGTGCGGTAGCTTAAAAGTTTTTTTTTGTCGAAAACTACAACTTGTGTGTAAGTACGGTTTTAAATTAACCTCACGACATTCGATTGAGTTCTGTAGAAATGTTTACACTGTTACTTAAAAATAATTGAGTTTCACCATATTATTTGGACAAAAACTTTATTCATTTAAACCACTGTGTGCACAACGTAAATTTAGTTTCGTATTACTTCCGCTTTAGTTTTAAATTTCTGCAAGTTGAATTTACTAAAAATACACAATTGGGTATTATATATCATTCGCTTATCGCCTTTTTTCTGTTGCACAAACAACTTTTTTAAGCCAATAAATATAGGTGACTCGTGGAAAATAACCCATAATATAGTTATTTTATTTTATGTAATTCGAGTCGATTCCCGTTTGTGACCTTATGAAAACTGTATTTCTTAAGAGAAATATCTAACATTACTTCCCACTGAACATCGAAAACTATCTACTTTTGGGCAACTCAATACGACTGGGCTTTTTTTCCTTATAGCACCGATTCGACTTAAATATACACTGTGGTATCTCCAATGTAAACAACAGATTTTTAGGTCAGAGTTTCTTTAAATTCAAGTTTTACTACTTATTACACTTGTCACTTATATGTATTTCATTAATTACGATTTTCTCATTTCAATTTATTTGTCTACCTCAAAGCAAAATATTATTGTTTTATAATATTTTCTATTATGTCTGCAACTGTAATGCAAACAGCTGTTGATGATATTTCTATTATACCTACTAATTTATGTTTGTAATATATATTATATTGTATAGTTGTATACATTATCTGATTAATCTGATTTTGCCGCATGATTCTCAAAATTGGTTGTTTGGCGAACGCGTTAATTGTTTTGGCGAACAAACACCATCAGCTCGCGTAAATGGAATCTAAATATTAATAAATAACTAAAACTTCTGTTGTGATTCAGACGGTTTCCAAAAACTGTGTCACCGTTTTTAAATTAACTTTTGGGGCAGAAACTTTTCGGGGATTAGCAAATCATTATTAATAAATCGGACGACTTGTTTACCAATAGTAAATTACTTTTTGCCATCACTGTAAATTTAACAGCTGTTATTTTTATTTTCACTTATTTCGATTAAAGTAACGTCTGTGTTTGCAGTGCAAGTTGAAGCGGCCGTGTACAACTTAAATGAAAATATAATTATTGTGCTCACAGAGAAATTAATTCAACGTTTATATAACCCTTTTGTAGTGAACGGAAGGCCGGAAAAATTAATAAAACTGTATGTTTCATCCCGAAATGTTGACATTTTCAGTACAATCAAGCGAAATTTGAGAGTATAAATAAGATTTTTTCAATATGTTCGATTGTCGAGAATAAGGTGATTTATAAGTTAAAAACAAATAAAAATAAGAGCTCCAAAGGAACATTATCTATACAATGATATAAGATAATAATTGGACAACTCGCGGCGTTCAAATGTCGTACTTGTCGGAAGGTTAAGGGTTCTGTTTACGTCGAAATTGTGCTGTCTTATTAGTTTTTTTCTCTCCAAATCAAGTTTTTACGTCTGTTTGGATTTAATAAAATCAAATAACCTTCAACAAAAAAAAAAATTGTTTTTTTTTCTCATCGTAAACGAAAAAATCATAAATTTCAATTAATATGTATTCAAACCGACGTCTTGTTAGGTCTTACTCTTAAGTGCACCTTTGCGGCCACTCATCACTGAACCTCCGTACTTTTCTTCAAACAGTAAATTGCATAAATATTTTAAAAGTGAAATATATATATATATAATATCACATTTACTAATGTAGAATGTACATATATATATATTACATAACATGTTATGTTATACCGGGTGATTGGTTAAGTATGGACCAGTCAACTTAGAAAATATTAGACTTTTTTTAATTATTTTTTTTTATAATTTTATAATTATTTGTATTAAATATAAATACTATGATTCTTCCTTGTGATAACTAGCTCATCCCACCTTGACTATTTGTTAGGCAAACCTGGACCTTAAATAAAATATCATATATATTATTTTAGAACTAACTAAGTGATGACAAGAGCAAAATATTATATTTTACAGGTAATCGCCAATAATCATTATCGCAAAATCGTTATGCCTTTAAACGACAAATCGCTCTATGTCACTACACCTAACCCTTTAATCTCATTAACACTGCTAAGGTCAAGTCCTTAAATCCAATAATAAAGTAATCCAAGTGCTTTTTTACTATCAATGAGAGTAATTTGCTGGCACATAAGGGTTTAACGCGTTTAAGTTACACAGTTCATGGCCCCTCTTCCTATCAAAATAAAATAAATATATATACACCGTTAAAAACACACCATTTCTAAAGTAGTCAAAATAGTTTTTTCAAATTAGGGGTTTTCCAGAAAAGTTCATGGGTGATTAAGAATTTTGTAAGAGTGTAAAAAAACATCTAAATGTTTTTGGAAAAATATGAAAAACTTTTAAAGAAAAACTTTCTTTTTTAAACTTCAATTGTTTTTACAATAAAACGTGCCTTCCAGCTCGAAAACGACACAAAATACCGACATGAAATGGCCAGAACATTCAATTAAGACTATACTATCGTCAAAAACCGCAAGGAGATTATAGATCAGAAATAACCACTATAGCCAGCAAGCTAAAGTATGATCCATATTTTATAATTTTAGTCGTTAGGCTTTAAGTAGACTGTAACTTTTTTTATTAATATTTGTTTGGTCCCACGATATCTTCTAAGTCCCTGAACCAATTTCTTCAAGTGGCAACTCTGTAGATCATTAAACATACCTAAAAAGTACTTTAATTGGCCATCAATTTAAAAAGTTAACCCCTTCCTCTTCAAAGTCGAGAAAAACTTATTCTTATTCCTAAGACACATTACTGGGTACCGATAAACGTCGACAAACAAAAAAAATATCATATACCCATTTGAACCGTATTATTTCTTAGGTAGTGTACTTTGTTGAGTACCTAGACGGTAAACAAACGAAAATGTTTAAGTATTT